CCATCCGTTTCTGTGCACTCACCTTCCTAGTCTTCTCCTCACAACTCTGAGCAGAGGATACTTCCCTGTGACCAGCTTGTGATGCACACACACGCGCGCACGTGCATGCACGCACACACACACACACCCCTCAGCCCTGGAGTCATGCCGCACACACAGTGAGCTGTCAGGAATACTCTGGGACTCAGGAAATAAGACCTAGAGGAACTGTGATCAGCCAGTGCCCCACACTGGAAGTTGATTTTTTTGTTTGTTTTGTTTTGCTTTGTTTTTGTGCCACTAGTGAGGCTTGAACCCTGCCATTGTCCCTTGAGCTTTTTCACTCAAGGCTAGTGCTCTACCAGTTGGGTTTTTGTTGTTGTTGTTGTTTTTTCCCTGGCAGTTAATTGGAGGTGAGAGTCTTATAGACTTTCAAACCACAAACCTCAGATGTCAGCCCCCTGAGTAACTAGGATTAAGATATGAGCCACCAGCACCCAGCTCTGGAAGTTTCTTGAAAGTTTCCCGTTGCGCTCTTTTTAGAACTACTAGTCATGAAGTCTAACTCTTGTTGTTGACTCTCCACCTGGCTGCTGTGGGACATCACACAGATGACCCACCTCTACTCTGCCTCAGCCTCTTCACCTCTGACATGAGACTGACCCTAGCTGCCCAGAGCCTAATGAGGTCGATGAAGGCTGCAAACCACACAATGGTCTGCTGGGGACAGGCCTTTGGGCTGTGGACAGATCCCCAGGGCTTGTAGCTTACAGCCATGCTTTTTACTTCTCAGCAGTATTCAATCCTTATTCCTCGAGCGGCTTAGGTGGTTTTAAATCTTGTTTTTCTGGTTTGTTTAATTACTGCTATGGAAACATCATTTTTTCCCTTTTTTTAAGCTTCATATATGTAGTTTTTCAGCCTCATTATGAACTGAATTGAGTTTTGTGGATGGGCCTAGGAATCCCATCAAAATTTATAGCTTTATTTCTTTGGAGAAATTGCTTCCAGGCATCACGCAACTGGTTAGGAGGGAAGTTTTGGAACAGCAGCAATCTATAAGTTGGGACCACTGTACCATTTGCATTGTTCTCTAACTAGTTTGTGGAGGGACGGCTGATCTCCCTGGTGGCATGAGAAACTTCTTAAGGACCAGGTTACATTTTGCAGGGATTCCCTTATAACACCCAGCACCTGCCAAGCCCAAGAAAGCATTCAACCAATACCTGTCTAATTCTAACACAGAGCCCAGCTGCGCAGCTGCCTCAGAGACTTGGGTACTGGTGGGAGTCACCTTGGGTGCCCAGGTAGTTACTGGGTCATACCCCCTTTCCCATCCAACTTGATGAGGCCCAGGGAAGCAGCATGTCTTCCCAGTTCATTCATTGTTTTTCTAGTGCTCAGTAGACCTACCCACATTCTTCTAGGTGTTTTACATTTGATAATGTGCTTAATCTTCACAAAGTATTTCAGATAATTGTTGTCATTTTACAGATGAGGCTGAGGCCCATGGGGGTTAAGCAGCCATTCCAAGTTCAGACTGGGAATCACACCCAGACAACCTGGCACTAGACCTAATTGTCAACCACATGCCACTCTGCCCTAGACCATGAAAGATGGAGATTGTCTGCTGTTCCCACTCCCCGTCATCCTCTGAACCCGAGTATTTTTTGTGACACTACAGTGATGGTGTCTCCGTAGCTTCCTGTTATATGGTCTGTGGTTGATCACTGGAATTTATAGATGTATGCATATACACTATACTAAATTGAAACAGTACAGGAAAGTACAAAACTAAAGTCAATAATTCTTGAAATTCTTCCATCCACAGCTAAAGTATTCCCTGCCCCCAGTGGATCAAATTCATGGCCTACATATGCTAGGCAAGCACTCTGCAACAATGCCACACCCCCAATCTTCAAAGCTAAAATATTTTTTCTTCTGTTTTAAGATTTTTTTTAATTAGCTTACATTGGTTTTACAGAGTGGGATTTAATTGTCATATTTCTATACATGTTTACAATGTGTTGGCTGGGAAGGTGGCTCAGTGGTAGAGTGCTTGCCTTGCATGCATGAGGCCCTGGGTTCGATTCCTCAGCACCACATAAGCAGAAAAAAAAAAAAAGGCCGGAAGTGGCGCTGTGGCTCAAGTGGTAGAGCGCTAGCCTTGAGCTGAAGAGCTGAGGGACAGCGCCCAGGCCCAGAGTTCAGGCCCCATGACCGGACCAAAAAAAAAAAAAAGACAATGTGTACCAATCAATTTCACTCTCTATCACTCTTCCTGCCCCTCTTCCCCCTTCCCAAAACAATTTCAACAGGTTCCATTTACCTAATTGCAAATGGTCTGTTTGACAGTAATCAGCCTCCTTTATACTCCTGGTTAGGTTGATCCCCTCCTACTAGTACCCACCTACTCCCCCAGCAGTCTGTTTCTCTTTTCTACCCCCATCCCCACCCCCACTCCCTAACAAAGTTAAAATCTTAATCACTATTTGCCAATTATTCTCTAGACTATAGTTCTCTCCCTCTCTCTCTTTCTCGCTCTCGCTCTCTCTCTCTCCATATTGCATGTGATGCATATATTTACAATTGAGACTACATTCTTGAAGTCCTGACAAGTAAGAAAAGGGCTGTATTTTGTCTGCTATAGAGCCAATGAGGATTGGACTATAGTCCCATGTGGAGTTTCCTTGTTCGTGGCAAACTTTCAAAGACGACATGGATTTTGCTGCTGTGTAGACTCCTCCCCGGGCCTGGCTCTGAGCTGCGTGGCTGCTGCACTCCAGAGGCTCTTGTTTCTCCTCTAAGATGGAAGATGTGCTCCTGAAGAGGAGACCTGGCAGGTCGTCTGCCACCAAAGCGTTGCGGCAGCGGCCGTGCCCCGTGTGCTGCGTGGTGGGAGGCTCCTGCCCTCTTTTGAGGCTGCCCAGGGAATGCAAGTGTGGCTTGGTGTGGTGATGTCCATCCAGAGTCAGTTTGTCATTTCTACGTTGAGCAGCAGATGGCTATTTCAAAGAAGTTGGGGGGAAATGGATTTGGTAGCTGGGGAGGGAGAAGTGCTCATTACCTCATCTTACCCAGCCTTTCTTCCTGCTGATACTCTGCTCTTAGGATTGGTATCTAGTTCTGCTGAAAATGAAATCATATATTCAACTCTCAGGCTGTGTTAGTGCAAATGAACTCTAATGTGATTAGATACTAATGCAATGTAATGGAGGATTGGTATTAAATTGAGACCTTCTGATCTTATTACTCACAGACCGCTCCCTCCTGCTCAGGCTGCCACCCTGCCCGGAGCCCTAAGGCCAGGTGGAAGCCTGGTTTCGAGAGAGTGGAGGGGGGCAGTGACAGGACATTTGTGGAGGTGGACAATGAGGCCCATCCGCCTCCGACACCAAATTCAGGCCTCACTTCCTGTCCTGAGGAGGAAGGGCGGGGCACATGCTGCAAGTTCAGAGCCACGCAAGCCACGAGGACCGAGAACTTCCACGCGCAAAGTCTCGCCCTGTACCTGCACCACTGGTTTAGAAAGCTGAGGCAAAAAAAAAAAAAAAGTCATGGTTCTGCAGCCTCTCTTCTACCCTCCCTCCCACCCCATCTTTTCTGTGAAACTCTTGACTCAAGCCCAGCAGTTGTGACAGGCTGTTGTCATTCATCCTACTTCTGTTTTTCTGAGAAGCAGGTGGCAGACCAGCTTTGGCATGTGTACTGCAGCTTCCTTTAGAGACGGAGATGGGGCACAGTGATTCTCTTTCCCTCCCCCCCTCACCTGCTGCAAGAATGAGGCTTAGGTCAGGAGGGACCACCAAGCCGGTGGAACCCCCACAGCCTGCAGGCCTTCCCTGCCTACAGTCTGCCTCCTGTCTGCAGGCTGCTGGAGAGAGCCGGGGAGCCGAGGACCAGGGTCCCCCCACAAGGAAACGAGGCAAGAGCTCAAGCTCCAATGGTCAGACAGCCTTGCCTCCATGTATGAAAATAACATTCTTACCCAGAGAGTGATTTTTCTTACTCTGTTTTCAGAAAACTGCTTTCAGAGGCACAGCCTTTGTACACAGGATGGTAATGACTTTTTAATGACCTTAAGAGGACTAGTGTCCAGGCAGCAGTGAATCAATCTCAGTGGGAGGTTTGGAGAGAGAAGGGGGGGGGAGAAAGAGAGAGAGAGAGAGAGAGAGAATGGAGCACCTGAAGCCAAAGGGGGAAAAACAAACTGCAAATACATATATTTTCTTTGCTAGCATTACTTGGTAATTAGACAATTACAGGAAACAGCTTCGCAGCAGCTGGCATTTCCACTGTGTGAGCGGAGGAGGGATGGCAGCTACTGTGAACTCCTCACATTTATTACAGAAAATATTATTGGAGTTTACAGTGGTGGGTGTCCCGCGCTCCTCTGGTGCATTCTGATGAGCTGATGAGTGTTGGGCCAAGAGATCCCCTCCCTTCAGCGTTTGTTCCAGGCCTGTGTGGCTGGTTTCCACCCAAGTTGATAGGTATAGCATTGCCCTTAAAATATTGGGGTTACACTAGAGAACACAGATGGGCCAGTCCTGAGAGCAGGCCACATGGGCTGCATTTGGAAGCAGAAAAGGGGGGAGGATTGTGGAGCATTTGCCTGCCTAGGTGCCATCTCTGGCTTGGCAGCGAGTGACCCCACTGCTGTGGGCCTAGGAGTGGGACTTGCCCTTTGAAGTGGGTCCAGCCCCATCCTGTGCCATGTCTCCTGGCACAGATAAGGGATGCATGTTTCCCATTCCTGCCCACCTCCATTACATTTCCACCTACCCACACCCACACTCTTGCCACTTCACTTGCTAAGAACCCTAAGTCACATCTGCAGACAGTAGGGTGCCTTCTTCACACGATGGCAGACTCCCAGGGGATGCTGTGTACCACCTCCTCCTCCATCTCCACCTTAGAGGGGCCCTGCCCAGCCCCTCCTGCCACACGGGAGGAGTGGACACCATTCCAGAGTTAGCTGCACTGTCTGACCAGGCAAATGGTTGTGTTTCCTCTCACAGGTCCTGGCAGTCGGTCACCTTTGAAAGACAGCCTGCCTCCTTCATCCGCATTGTTGGAACACACAACACAGCGAATGAGGTAAGGCTCTCTTCTGGAGAATGCTGTGATATTTGTGAGGGCCAGGTAAACATCTAATCTGAGTTAAGTGGAACGGTTTTCTCTGCCTGCTAATGGCTGTTGTTGCCACAGTTCTGTGCAGAGGAAGCCCTGCTCCCGCCCCATGGGGCCATCATTACCGTGTGTAGATACTCCCTACCAGCAGATGAAAGCAAACATGTAGTGCTTTGGTTTCCTCCAGCCTCCGCCAGATCAGCCACCACCAAGACCTTGAAAGGTCAAACACCCTGGCCCAAACCTCATAGTCCTTGGCCCTCTGAGTGTGGTGTCTAGCTGGAGGCTGTGCTGTTGGCTCGCTTTGCTTGTCCCTCTCTTGCTTGTATGTCATCATTCCCATGCAGTGTACACCTCTGAGGGGCCTTTCTGTAGAGAAAACACATAAAAGACAAGGAGAAATTCAAGAGGTAAATGAGAAGCCAGAAAGCAGCTGTGAACCTGCAATTTCCCCTTTCCATGGTCTTTCTCAGTTCTCCCAGGCTGACTTCATGGGTGGTCCACCAGGATGCTCAGCTGGGGCCCTGTGCTTGGGGCTTAATGCTCTGTGGCTCAGATGTTTTTCTCCTTTCATTGTGTTTTATAAGGAAACCCCATGCGGAGGGGTAGGGGAAGAGCACACACACTCTGACTCCCACCCTTTCTGTCCTTCTCAGTACTGGCTATCCGTCCTCTGCTCCCTGGGCACCAGCAGGGTGTGGTATGAGTCCTGAATGCCAGTCCCAAGATAGGGCCCTGGACACTGTCTGCAGCACTGGCCGGAAGGCCACCCCTGCCCGAGGGCGTGCAGATTAAACAGGGCCCAGGCAGCTGTGGAGGGAGAAAGCATTCTAATGCTCTCAGAACACAGCATGCAGTGCCCTACTCATTCGTGGAGTGAGAATTCTCCCAGGGCAGTCAAGGTGCATCTAGCACTTTAAAAAATGAAAAAATATGACAATTTAGATTCATTTTGCCTTTTTACTTATTTAGAATCAAAATGATCCACACCCACAGTGTGTTTCTTCCAGGGAGGATCGTGTGAACAAACAGAAACTGAGTGTTTTCTCCTACCCCCTCAGAATAAACAGGGCTATTTCAAAAGACCTCAAAGTTACAATAACAAATCATTTCTGTGTTTTTAAAACAAAAATTCAAGAATTCTAAAAATCAGGTCATAGAAGCACTTTGTGTGTGTGTTATAACAAAAGTAAATGTAAACCTGCATTTTAATATTCTATCCCCAACCCATAATAGTTCTAAAACTTGGTGGTGGGGCTGTGGCTCAAGTGGCAGAATGCCAGCCTTGAGCAGAAAAAAAAAGGAAAGCTAAGGGATAGTGCTCACGCCCTAAGTTCAAGTACCAGTACCACAAAAAAAATTCCCAATAAACTGAAATTTTACTTACCACTTAAGCTGTGTTAATTATGTGTTCACTTACTAAATATGAAAAACTGAAACATCTTTATAAATAACATTGAACTCAAATTACATATTTTCTATTTGTAGTCCTTTTATTACAATGCAGCTCCCCTCAGAACACCAATTCTGAAATTACTTATTACAACAGAAGGAATCTCAGGTCACAGCAGACAGAACCTCCCGTCTGATCAGGGTCCCTTCCAGGCATACATTGAATCCAGCCCATCTTCTCATAACCAAAAAAGAAAGGAAAAAGATTCTTAGATGTGGTATTTTGAACTTTTCCTTGGTGAAGAGTAGCTTTCCATTATAAAACTCCAAAGTTATCATGAGAAATCTCTCTTCATGACAATTTTCTCCAAAATACCTGTGCAGAAGTAGGGCTACCAGCCATCTGGGTACAGACTGGACCAGCCCGTGACCTTGCTGGTGGCTCACTTCTTAATTCGTGATCTGTCTCATTTGGCTGGTGAGTAATGTGATCTGCTGCCTTACTGACTCCATTTGTGATTAACAAAATAAAGTCTCAATGTAGCACTGTCAACTGAAAAACATCTGCAATCATAAACTACATGATGAACAGGACCGTCAGGCAAGATGCATGAACTGTCATCCTCAGGATGCACAGGAAAGACAAAAGCTTGCGTTTGCCTAGCACCCACAGTGTGACAGTCTCTAAGAGAGGTTCTCTTTAAGCAGCATCTTGGTCTGGGATATCAGTTGGATGAAGCAGTGTCACCTGTCTCAGAATTCTAACAGTTCAAGTGCCGGGGTGGGAGGGCAGGAGGGCATCTTAGTGGGGCAGTACTTCTGGCGACAGCCCTACAGAGAGGGGGGTGGCCCAGGCAGGAGGCCATTCCTTGCGTTGTGGGGCCTGACCTGGGGAAGGAGGCTGGGGGTGAGGCACCCAGCACAACCCACTCTCAGCCCCACGGGAGCCAGAGCTGTGCCATCAGAAGGGAGACTCGGAGCATCTCTTTCTCAAGGTGGAACACACTCTGGAGGATGGAGGTGTGTGTCCCCCTCCTGTCCTCACTGCACTGCAGGTCTCTCTGGTGGTTGTCCTGGGGTACGTAACCCGGGAGAGGTTTTCTCCCCGTCCCCCCCCCCCCCCCCGGGCTCTGGAGGCGGAGGTACCCTGCTGTCAGGCCCTCCCGTCCGAGCATCCACCGGTGTTCTCAGGTGGCAGCAGCCCCGAGGTCCGTGGAGAGTCCAGTTTTTTAGTGATCTGTTTTTGCATGCTTCTGATTTCCTCCCGCAGCCCTTCCCTCTCCTCTGGGAAGTGCTCGGCTGCCACTGGCCTCCGTGTCTCATCTTCTTTTGTGATCACCATAGCAATGAGTGCATGTACTTTTTAGCTGTGTTTACTCCGCCTGCCTCCTCAGGACTCCTCCACTTCCTGCTCCACACTCCGGAGACTTGTCTCAACTCCTCAGCACACTCACCTGTCCTTGCCGGGCCCTTCAGCATGTGAGTCCTCTCCTGCTCCTCCTGTCTGTCTGTACAGCTCAGCTCACACTGGCCTTCTGCTGCTTTCCTTTGTCTTCCTCCTGGCCTCTCACTAGTTGGCAGCCCCAGGAGGCCAGCCTTACAGCACCACAGCCTCCTATCCTTTGTCCTCCTGCTGCTCCCCGTGCCTGTGACCAGAAAGGTCACTCTGAACTATTTCCTCAGCCACTCTTGGTGGTCTCAGTGGCCCACACAGCAAACGTAGGGTTATTCATTCCTGTGTGGCTTCACCCACTTCTACCGCTGCTCAGCTCTGAGCCTTCCCCTGCCCCAGAGGGTGGGTGGGGCAGACAGCGCTCCCCCTTGTCAGCCTCTCTGTCTAGAGAAGGTTCAACCCTGTTACCATCCACCACCATTGATGCAGACCTCAGGCGCCAACTCCGGTTACCGTGCTGCAAGGCTGTGCGCATTCTGAAAGCCTCTTCTCGACCCCTCCATGTTCGTTTTATTAATTATCTTAGCAAAGTAACAAAGGCACACACCTACATCCTTAAAGAAAACCAGCTGAGTTTAAACGAGATCGAGTCTGTAGACCTATAAAAATTAGTCATTAGTATTAAGAAGAATGAAAAATATGTCTCTTTTATGGATGTTCTGATAATCTGAGTTTGAGAGAACATTCTGAAGTGATTTCTCAAGAGTCAGGCAGCTCAGTGGCACGGATGTATGTGGCATTAAAAAAGGAGTGAGCTTTCTGCAGTACAGAAAGACAGGACCACACGAAGGCTATGTCAAGTCGATAGCAGCCCCTGAGGGTGGTATTGACAGCTGCACCCGGCCCTCAGGTTCCGCTGCGATTACTGGGCTTGCGTGGGGAAGAGAGGGGCTGCATCACGTCCACCTTGGAATCTTGGCACCCAGCAGTGTCCAGCACATGTAAGAATAGAGCCCCTGTTAGTTGAATCAGTAAAGGAACAAACGATCCTGTCGGTGTAGCCATCTCTCATCCCATCAGTCAAACAAGTAAAGGAAAAGATTTAGTAGAATAATTTTACTATTGAGAGAACAAAGTTCTAAAGTCATCATATTGAGGATTTTCTTAAGCCATTTTTTTTGTACATAAGAAACTATATGTAGTAAATGTCCCTAGTTTCAAAACCTTACACACAACACGAATACTTACAAATGAAAGTAGCAAGCGCTAGGATTGAGCGCTAAGTGTCAGGCCCCACTTCCAGCCCCTGCACTTAACCCTCATATGTGAAGTGGGTGCTGCCCCAGTCCTCATTTTAAAGATGAGGACAGTGCCAAGTATCAGCCCAGTGTGGAGCGTGGGGCAGCACCAGCCTGTGCTCGGGCAGGGGTGCCGCCCTCCGTGCTGAGGCTGAGCATGTGTGTGCTACTTTCGCCTGACGGCTGTTCCCACCCCTTATCTGTTGTGACAAACTCCTCTGCAGCTCAGGACGCCTGGGGCAGTGCTCTCACCACCATCTTGATCCCCAGACACCAGCAGAACACAGCAGTCACCACCCACAACAGAGTGGGCAGAGCCCTGTGTGTCCTGCCTGGACCACCCTCCCTGTGGATGAACCGCAGAGCACGCTAGAAGACACTGGCGCACAGACAGAGTGTAGGATCCAGTTCATGTGACCCTCAAAACAGGCCAAACCAAACAACTGCCCATGCCTGCACACGTGGCAAAGCTGCTGTGGAACGAAGGTTATCTCAGCAAGAACCATGGGAGGCTAGGGCGGGTGACACGAGGAAAATGCACCCTCCGTCCTGAGCCTGAGCCAGCCCGAGCCCACCTGCATTAGGTGCGCATTTTCCCCATCTGCAAATGGTCCGTGGGGCAGATGGATGTGGTGGGACTGTGCCTTGGAAAGTTCCGGAGGGTGCTTCCTTCCCTGCACCGTGTCAGGAATAGTGATAGGCCACAGCGTGTGTCAGGGCTCCGAACGAGCCGGCATCCGCAGGACAGACCATCTGCAAGTGGCTACTTGAGCTGCCCTCCAGGACCACTCAGCCCCGAGCCTGGAGCGAGGCAGAATTTATTTACAGGCTTCTGTCAGGTCAGAGAGTGGCTCTGGGCTCCCAGTGCCAGCCTCGTTCCCATA